TTCTGGGAGTTGAAGTCCACGAGTCATAAAAGAGCCAAGGTTGCCTACCCCTGCCCTAATTCATCCTGCTTGCTCTCTTCCTTAATAGAAATTTTGATGACGAACATTTTTTTGCTAAAGGGGAAAATAGACGAAAACTGGTGAATATAAAGGCCAAACACAAGCCAAAAACTGGAGGAAACCTCCCAGAAGAGGCCCTTTGAGTGCACTGGATGCCAAATATGGATTTTTAATGGCCCTGGAGCTGCTTCACAGACCAGTTCTTCCCGTTCCATCATTAGACACGGAAAAAGGCTTTCGAGGCCAAAGGATCCCAAATTCAACTTTCACATTTCCAGTATAATGCTACAAAAAGGAAGATTGTCTATTGTGTCAGGCGCTTAATTGATGTAAGCCTTGTTCTGCATTCTTGAACCTAAATAGAAAAGCAGCCCCTTTGCAAAATTCTCTGGGCTTGGCATCGAAGTAGAGGCAGTCATGCAAGGTTCTTGGATAGAAAACCCAACAGGGATTTTCAGGATTGTAGGAAATTGGAAAAATATTTTGGAAAAAGCAATGAAATTGTTTCTGCATTGCTCCCCAGAAGACTGTCTGGACAGATCCATGTTCTCATTAGAATTTTCCTTTCCTTTCTTTCCCCTTTCCTTTCCTTTCCTCCCTCTCTTTTCTAACATCCTTTCCTTCCCCCTTTCTTTTCATTTTCCTTTCCTCTCTCTCTTCTTTCCCTTTCCTCTTTCCTTTTCTTTCTTTCCTCCCTCTTTCCTTTCTTTTCCTCCCTCTCTTCTTCCTTTCCTTTCCTTAATTATGGATGGTTACAAACCAACAGTAAACAAGAGCATGTGCAGAGTGAACACGCCTACCAAATCTTCCACTAACCTACATTTTATAAGCAGACTCTTTATTCATAACTTGTCTAACTTTGTCATCATTAGCAACAGCCATGTGAGAAGTACAGTGGTGCATGACGCACACACACAGGCATCTCCTGGTGTTAACCCACCTCTTGTCAAAGTCCTTGGCTGGTCTCCAAAGTCCTAGCCCCCCCTCCCCCACGCGCCTTTTTTCTTCCCACAATAGGGTCCACGTGGCTCGACCATCCATTTGCAGAACCCACGGCTTTCCCCAGCTTTTTTTTTTTTTTGCTCTGGATTCAATCCAAAACATTAGCAACAGAGATATATTTGGTTCCTCGCTAATCGGGATTTATATATATTATAATAATAATAATAATAATAATAATAATAATAATAATAATAATAATAATAATAATAATAATAATAATAATAATAATAAACTCCCCAAACAGCAGAGATACCCAGTTGCAAACTTTGGGAATGGCCTAGAAAACATGGGAGAATAATCTTAGAAACGCAGCGGGTGTATCTTTGTGATGGAACAAAACAAATAAAAAACACTGCTGCTTCTTATCAGTCGAAAATGAAACTCTCAGAAGTTTATTGTGTTTGCAGTTTCTCACAGCTGTTTGGAGCTTAGCTATCTGAGAATCAGATTAGAAGGGAGCTCAAAGGCCACCTAGTCCAACCCCCAGCTCAGGGCAGGATCTGCAAAAACAAGGGATGGAAACTAACCAAGGAGAGAAGGAACCTAGAACAAAGGAGAAATTTCCTGACGGCTAGAACAATTAACCAGTGCAACAACCTGAAGTTGTGAATGCTCCAACACTGCAAGTTTTTAAGAAGAAATTGAACAACCATTTGTCTGAAATGGCATAGGGTTTCCTGCCTGAGCAGGGGGGTGGACTAGAAGACCTCCAAGGTCCCTTCCAACTCTGTTGTTCTCTTCTATCCCTCCAGGAACATACCCACATGTTACCTGGCAGAGCTTTCTTGTGCGTTATTTACTAACTAAGTTGTATTTATCATGCTTACTTCATTCCTTCTCCTCCTCCTCGCCTTAAGCCTCTTGGCTTTCAAACCCGACATTTGTTCCCAAATGTAAAACTAGCTCAGCTTGGAATTTGGGTTGGCTCCAGATTCTGACATAATATCTCCTTCCAGGTGCTTCTGTGTTTGAAACCGTGTGCAAAACTGCTAATAAGCAACAAAGAGTATTTTCCCCCCCTGTTCCTGCTATTAAAACTTTTAAAACTTGCATGAGTTCGAAAGACATAAGTATATAAATTTTTGCATACGCATTCCTGCTCCTAGTCAAGCCGCTTTTGTGCCAAACACTGAATCTGATTTATGATCCTTTAAGTTTAGGAACTAGGGAGAAAAACGCAGTTTATTTCTACCAGATGTTTGGGCAATATGTCTGGGCAGTCCTTGAATTATGGCCGCAACTGAGCCCCAACTTTCCACCGCTAAGCAAGGCAGTATTTTAAGTGAGTTTCACCCCATTTTATGACCTTTCTTGCCACAGTTGTTAAGTGAATCACTGCAGTTTTTAAGCCAGTAACACGGTTGTTAAGTGAAACCGTCTCCCCCCCATTGACTTTGCTTGTCAGAAGGTCACAAAAGAGGATCACACGAACCCGGGATACCACGACTGTCGTACGTATGAGTCAGTTGCCGAGTAAGTGGGAAAAACGATCTTAAATCACTTTTTTCAGTGCCGTTGTAACTTTGAATGGTCACTAAACAAAGCTGTTATAAGTCGAGGACTACTTGCAAATCCTTGTTCGTTTTCATCTCCGGCCTGAGACGAACCACTTCAGTTAGAGCAGTGTGTGCAGTTCTTCTACAAAAAAATAAGAGAGGTGTTTTCATGGGCTTAAAAAATACAAAACTGGTTAAAACTGCAAGTAATGTTAGCCACACAGATGTTTGTGAGGGTCAGATGGCTTTGCACCTGACTAAAGCAATAGTGGCCTGTGAATGTGTGGTGCGTATGTGTGTATATTTGTATAGGTCAGGAGTAAGCAACCTTGGCTCTTTTATGACTCGTGGACTTCAACTCCCAGAATTCCTGAGCCACCCATGCTGAGAGGGAGAGGTTTCCAAGCTGAGCCATGCTGGCTCAGGAATTCTGGGAGTTGAAGTCCACGAGTCATAAAAGAGCCAAGGTTGTCTACCTCTGGCCTAGGCCTAGGCCGCTTTATGACTCGTGGACTTCAACTCCCAGAATTCCTGAGCCGGCATGGCTCAGCTTGGAAACTCTCCCTTTCCCCTCAGCATGGCTGGCTCAGGAATTCTGGGAGTTGAAGTCCATGAGTCATAAAGCGGCCTAGGCCAGAGGTAGACAACCTTGGCTCTTTTATGATTCGTGGACTTCAACTCCCAGAATTCCTGAGCCACCCATGCTGAGGGGAAAGGGAGAGGTTTCCAAGCTGAGCCATGCTGGCTGAGGAATTCTGGGAGTTGAAGTCCACGAGTCAGAAAGCGGCCTAGGCCTAGGCCAGAGGTAGGCAATCTTGGCTCTTTTATGACTCCCAGAATTCCTGAGCCAGCCATGCTGAGGGGAAAGCGAGAGGTTTCAAGCTGAGCCATGCTGGCTCAGGAATTCTGGGAGTTGAAGTCCGGGAGTCATAAAAGAGCCAAGGTTGCCTACCCCTAGTATAGGTGCCCATACATCCACAACCGTCCACTTAGCTTTGTGTTGGTTTGTTCCGTTCAATTAATTTTCTGTGTCAAAATTGTTCCCTCCTCCTGTTGCCGATAAGATGGGAAATATTACAGAGAGAGCTGTACTCAAATCTTTTGTGGCAAATTATCAAATTGAACCGCCCGTGGAGCAGCGGATACTCATAATTATAATTTAAAACGCCACTAAATCAAAAGCAGGATTAAAACAGACCGAAGATCCTGCGACAAATAAAACAGAATAAAACATGAAGGCAAATTCTCAGGGCCGGTTTAAAAAGATGCACCTGGGCGCATTTTGTGAAGGGGAAATGAGACCCCCGTGCAGTTTCTTTTCTTTTTTTCTTTTATTAGTTTATAATATAAAATACAAAAATGTAAAAGAAAATAAGAGGAAAAATGGGGGAGGGAAAAGGGAAAGGAAAAGTGTGGAAAAGAGGGGAAAAAGAAAAGGCATTGACTTTTTGACTTCCTTTGCTTGCAGTAGAATAAGATAGTAACATCAACCTCAAAGGAAGAAAGGAAGGGAGGGAGGGAGGAAAAAGAAAGAAAGAAAGAAAAAGAAAGAAAGAAAGAAAGAAAGAAAGAAAGAAAGAAAGGGAAAAGGAAAGGAAAAGGAAGGAAGAGAAAGAAAGAAAGAAAGAAAAGAAAGAAAGAAAGAAAGAAAGAAAGAAAGAAAGAAAGAAAGAAAGAAAGAAAAAATTACCCAGACACGGTTGTTTCTGCAAGGCCACACAATTCAACACTCCCCACAACAAATTGTTTTAATCCTTGCACCATATCTTAGATTGTGCTTCCACGAAGAGTCAGTCGGTCCAATGCTTTTCTAGACAGGAAGTCTGTGTAAACACTAAGGATGATGTTGTTGTGGGTGTGGGCGTGTGAGTGTGTTACTTCCACATTTCCTGGAATTTGCCACTAGGCCAGGCTGTCAGCCTTTCTCCTTTGTTTTCCTGCGGCCTCTTCCGTTTCCTTCTCGGGTGGCGCAAAATATGTGTTGAGTAAGGAAGGTGACCATACTGCTTCATGGTGACTGTAGTCACCTTCCCCCTGAAAACCTTTTCCCCCCACGTTACACACACACACACACACACACATACACACACACACACACACACACAATCCTAGATTGCATTAACAGAGGGATAGAACCAAGATCACATGAGGTAATAGTACCGCTTTATAAAGACTTAGTAAGGCCACACTTGGAATACTGCATCCAGTTTTGGTCGCCACGATATAAAAAAGATGTTGAGACTTTGGAAAAAGTGCAAAGAAGAGCAACTAAGATGATTAAAGGCCTGGAGACGAAAACCTATGAAGGACGGCTGCAGGAATTAGGTATGTCTAGTCTAGTGAAAAGAAGGACTGGTGTGTGTGTGTGTGTGTGTGTGTGTGTGTGTGACTTGATAGCAGTCTTTCAATATTTGAGGGGCTGCCCCAAAAGAAGAGGGAATCAAGCTATTCTCCAAAGCTGCTGAAGGCAGGACAAGAAGCGACGGATGGAAACCAATCAAGGAGAGAAGCAACCTGGAACTAAGGAGTAAAATTCCTAATGGTTACAGCAATCAATCAGGTGGAATAGCTTGAAGTTGTGGCTGCTCCATCCAACACTGTTATTCTGTTCTGTTCACATTTTGTATAAGGACAACAAAAAATTCCTCTCCTATGAGGCGAGCCACATTTATTTTATTTTATTTTATTTTATTTTATGCTGTGGGTGAGTTCCTTGGTCTTGCAAGCGACGCCTCGGGACGATGTCGCCTCTTTCGTTCTTTCTTACATCCTAATTTTACTTTTCTTCGGGCGGAAATAATTTTTCGCCACGTTGTTTTCTCTTTGAACCGTGTGGGAAACTCCGTAGATCTGCTCCTAGATCGATAGGAAATGAGGGGAGGCTGAGGAGCAGCTGGTGGTGATCCTTTTCACCACAAAAAGAGAGAAGCAACTTAAAAAACTAAGGAGAAATTTCCTGACAGTTAGAACAATTAACCAGTGGAACAACTGCCTCCAGAAGCGGTGAATGCTCCAACACTGGAAGTTTTTAAGAAGAGACTGGACAGCCATTGGTCTGAAATGATCTAGGGTTTCCTGCCTGAGCAGGGGGTTGGACTGGATGACCTCCAAGCTCCCTTCCAACTCTTATTATTGCTGTTGTTATGATGTTGTTGCTTCTCCCAAGCTGACTCGATCTGTCTGTCTATCTCCCTCTCTACATTATAAAATCAAGTCTCCATGGCTGGCTGGGGAATTCTGGGAGTTGAAGGCCACCCGTCTTAAAATTGCCAGGGCTGGAAACCCCGGCTCTAAGATGCTAGATATCAATAGGATAGAAAAACCTGTGGGATCGGCATCCCCGTGGGAGTTCGTTCAGAAACGTCTTTGCAGCGGTGTGCGTTGTGTGTTCCCAGCCCCTGGCATCCATGAAGCCGATCTGGGCATCCAAACCGTATCATATTTCCCGGGTCCTACTAGTCCACGTCTTCTGCTTCCCTCAAGCAAGGCAGGACATTGGGGTGGTGAAGATGGAGACTGGTCAGAGGGGAGCGTTCTGCACCGACCCCCCAGTTTATCCTGTTCGGGGGCTGAATAAGGAATTCAGTCTAAAAGCTGCTGAGCAACTGTGTTGGGGAAGGCAGGCGCCCTGCGGGATAAAAGTCTATTTTTAGGGTGGTTTGGAAATTTCCTCTGGCTACTTCACCATGTCCAGTGGAACGCTCCTCTCCTCTTTCCTGCTTTCCTTTCCTCCTCCTCCTCCTCCTCCTTCTCCCTCCTCCTGCAAACAGCACATAGCCAGGGCCACAAATGGGGAGACCACGCCTAGCAAAGACAGGAATGCTCGCAGCTTCTCGGAGGGAAACTCAGCCAAGTTAAGGAGCTCATTCAGAAGGGGACAGCCAGTTGGGGAACAGCCAGCCCAAAACAGCCGAAAGCACACTCGGGAGGGTGGTGTTTCTCGACCGGATGCAAAGCTGTTCCCTTGCCACGCTGACAAGAACCGTGTCGTGCTGCTGCTCCTGCTGCTGCTTTGCTGGAAAAGGCACTTTCCCTGGAGCTTTGCAGAAAAAGCCACTTTTGCCGGAGCTTTGCAGGAAAAGCCACTTTCTCCGGAGCTTTGCAGGAAAAGCCACTTTTGCACCGTTCCCGGTCTTGGCGAAAAATTGCTGGTTGGGTCCCGGGCACCATGCCGCACAACATGTGAGTGTCTTAACTGGTTTTCGGCACCTGCGGGCAGCCTTGCCAACGAGGTGATGGTGTCGCTTCCCCCCGAAGGGGAGCTGGCCTACGTGACAGGTGGCCCAAGGCTGCCGCTCGGGGTCGGCCTGTGCTGGGTTCGAGCGATGCTGGCTGCCTGCAGGTTCCCGCGTTGGGCTGCCACCTTCAGAGCAAGGTCGACGAGATCGGTTTTCCCTTTTGGCGTGCCCTTCTTAGAGGGGCGGGCAACTCGGGTAGTTTTGATGGCCTGGGGACTTCAACTCCCAGAATTCTATGCGCGCTCAGGAATTCTGGGAGTTGAAGTCCGCAGGTTGTCAAGGGGTTATAGTTGCCCAACCCTGCTCTACTTTGGGGTTCATATTGGGGGGTGGGGGGTGAAGGATAGGAGGCCTGGGGAAGCTAGGGGGAAGCCCATGAGTCTGGGACATGTTTGGTATGCTGTGTGTGGGTTCTGGAGTCCTTTGATTTGATTTGATTCCTTTCCTTTCATCTTTCCTCTCCTTCCCTTCCTTCCTTCCTTCCTTCTTTCTTTCTTTCTTTCTTTCTTTCTTTCTTTCTTTCTTTCTTTCTTTCCCTTTTCTCTCCTCTCCTCCCCTCCCCTTCCCTTCCTTTCCCTATATACTATTACAAACTTTAATCAAACCAAAATAATAACACCTGTTACAGAAATGGCTTTTCTTTATTAAAAATGTAAAGTAAAATGCTGAGGCTGTAACTGTAATTTTGTACTTTACCTCACCAAAAAAAAAAAAAAAAAAAATTGTAAGTCTTTCTTCTCTTTTTCTGTTTTACCCTGAATTCTTCATTTCCTTCCCCTTCTGATCTTTATTTCTATTTGTATTTTATGTTACCATAAATTCTAATTTAAAACAAAAACCTTAAAAAAAAAGAGCTGAGGCGTGAAAGAGGTCATGTTAACAATCCCTTTCTCCCACGCACCTGGTGTTGTTTCCCCTAACAAGTGTGTATCTCTTTTTCGTCTGTCACAATCCGACACAATTTCTATCTCCATTCACTATCTTGGTGCACCCATCCCTGTCCTTTCTTAAAAACGATGTTCAGTTTTTCAGAAACAGAATCAACCCTGTCTCCTAGTCTTTCATTGTGGCCTTTGTGTAGTTGTGCGTACCTCTTTCTGTTGTGATGCACATGCTCTTCTGTGTCCGCTTTCATTTTCAGCCTTGTGCATGTGTGTGTGTGTGTGTGTCCGTGACTTACAACCAAACTGAGCTCAAAATTTCCCTTGCTAAGCGAGACAGTTGTTAAAGTGAGTTTTGCCCCATTTGTACGACCTCGGGCGTAAAGCGAACCCCTGAAGTTGTTAAGTTAGTGACACGGTTGTGAAATGAATCCCTCTTTCCCCATTGACTTTGCTCGTCAGAAAGTCGCAAAAGAGGATCACATGACCTCGGGACATTGCAACCGTCCTAAGTACATGCCAGTTGCCGAGCCTCTGAATTTTGAACACCTTTTCACACTTTTACGACTGCAACGGTCGTTAAGTGTGAAAACTGGTCCTACATCACTTTTCCCAGTGCCATTGTAACTTCGAATAGTCCTAAGTGTGAAAAAAACCGTCCCAAATCCCTGACACCGCGACCGTCATAAGTATGAGTCAGCTGCTGCGTGTCTGAATTTGGATCACGTGACTGCGGGCATGCTGCAACGGTCGTAAGTGGGGAAAATGATCTTAAATAGATTTTTTCAGTGCTGTCGTAACTACGAATCGGTCGCTAAACAAACGGTTGTAAATCGAGGACTACCTGTACCCTGTTTTTTTATTATTATTATTGTTTTGTTTTTCTCCTTAAGAATGATTGAGCTGCGTTAAATGTTGGGATGTTAAACTCCCAACAGAGAAGACACAGAATACTATGTAACATGGAACAAGTGGTATGACTGGTTGGAGACTAGAAATAATAGAGGAGAATAAATATGGAAAGGTCAAAAGTGAAAATATGTGTATAATAATGTATAATATGAATTATGCTTAGTAAGAAGTAGAATATGAAGGAAGAAAAATGTAAATAAGAAACAACAGGGCAATAAGGACCAATATTCTAAAGAAGAATAAGGGGGGAAATGTAAATAATAGAAGATTACTGTTACGTAATCGCTGTTAAAAAAAAAGGGAGAGGAGTATATACTGTGTGTGTATGTGTGTTATGTTTTGCTTTGTTTTGTTTTGTTTTGTTGGTTAAAAAATAAATAAAACAAAAAATAAAAAAAATAAACTTCCAACAGAGAAGGGAGTCGTGGATTCTCACCATGTGGTGTTTCCCCCCCCCTCTTTTTGTGGTTTCTCCACAGACCATCCATGAGCTCAGATTTCCAGCATTACAGTTTCAGGATGCCAAACATTGGATTCCAGAACCTGCCTCTCAACATATACATCGTGGTCTTCGGCACCGCAATTTTTGTCTTCATCCTCAGCTTACTTTTCTGCTGCTATTTGATAAGGTAAGAAACAAACACACACCCCTTTTCCCTTTTTTGTGGAGAAAAAAAATTATTATTATTTTTAGTTTACTCAAAGGAAGTTAAGCACGGGTAAAGATTTTAAGGCTGTAAGTAGATGTAGTAGTTCAACCACTTCGAGTTCTTTCTCCCTCTTTCGCAAGGCGTGAGAAACTTGACGTTGTTAGATTATATTGATCAGCATTCAGTTGGCGAGAACGTTGTTACGTGTTAGGCTTCTCTTTTTTTATACGGTACTTGAGAGTTCAGGAACTTTAATAGGTTTGAAAAGTTTGGCTCAGCTTATTCATCCTTCACATTCTTGGGGGGTGAGTGAACACTTGTTCAAATTCTTCAACCTACTCAGGACAATTGATTGTTCTGAGAAAAATGGCAAAATGGAAACAAACGATCTAATCCAAACCGTAGATGTAATGGCGAAGTTAGTCTTGGGTCTAATTGCAAAACTGCAAAGTTAGTCTGGAGTCTGATCCAAGACCTGGGTCTAATCGCAAGGCTAGTTTTAGATCCAATTGCATAATTGTAAAGTTAATCTTGGGTCTCATTGCAAAATTGCCAAGTTCTTCTTCGCTCTAATCCTAGAACTAGGTCTAATGGCAAAGTTAGTCTTGGGTCTAATTGCAAAACGGCCAAGTTAGTCTTGAGTCGGATGCAAAACCTGGGTTTAATTGCAAGACTAGTTTTAGGTTTAACTGCAAAACTGTAAAGTTTAATCTTGGGTCTAATGGCAAAATTGCCAAGTTATGAACGATTGCTGGAATTGGGTATGTCTAGTTTAATGAAGAGAAGGACGAGAGGGGACAGGATAGCAGTCTTCCAGTATCTCAGGGGCTGCCCCAAAGAAGAGGGAGTCAAGCTATTCTCCAAAGCACCTGAAGGCAGGACAAGAAGCAACAGATGGAAACTAATCAAGGAGAGAAGCAGCTTAGAACTAAGGAGAAACTTCCTGACAGTGAGAACCAGTGGAACAGCTGGCCACCAGAAATTGTGAATGCTCCAACACTGGAGATTTTCAAGAAGAGACTGGATAGCCATTTGTCTGAAATGGTATAGGGTTTCCTGCCTGAGCAGGGGGTTGGACTAGAAGACCTCCAAAGTCTCTTCCATCATCATCATCATCATCATCATCATTATTATTATTATTAATTGTTTGCTCTAATCCCAGAGGTAGGTCTAACGGCAAAGTTACTCTTGGGCCTAATTGCAAAATTGCAAATTAGTTTTAGGATCTAATCCAGTGGTTCTCAACCTTTGTAATGCCGCGACCCCATAAGACAGTTCCCCATGTTGTGGTGACCCCCAACCACTTATACATCACCGGGTGCCAGGGGCGTGGCCAAAGGGGAAAAAAATGGCGGACAGCCTTGTTTGGCGACCCCCGTGAAATGGTCATTCGACCCCAAATGGGGTCCCGACCCACAGGTTGAGAACCACTGATCTAATCCAAATCCGATCCCACCTGCGCAGGGCAATTGGATCATTGCTTTGCGAAAAATGGCCAAGTCAGTTTTGGGTTAATCTGAGCTTGGTCTTAAGAGGGAATGCAGATGGGTGATGGGGGGGGGCAGGATTTTAGCAGGGATCCCACTGAAATTGTTGGTCTGCAAAGTGATTGGGTCACTTACATTTTTGCCTCTGGCTTGCCAAGTCCCATGTTTGGTGTTTCAAAGAAGAGGGGATTAAGCAAGTGTTGTGCTTGCTAAGTGTGCGACTGCACAACGGGGGACCAAGGTAAAGCAAAGCAAGCGGCGGCCCATGGTGGAACAGATGGGGAAGTATAAAAGAAAGCCTTTATACTTAGCAGGTACAACAGAAAAAAAAAAAAATGCACGTTTCATTGCATTCTAATCCAGATGGTCTTCGGGTCCCTGGGGTCTTGGGACATTGTAGACCCTGCCTGTTCTGGAAAACCCAAGAGAGACAATTTATTTATTTATTTATTTATGAGGCTTATATACCGCTTTAAGTGCAAGCACTCTCTAAGCGGTGTACACCAGTAAGCAATGTATATATATATATATATTTACATTGCCCCCAACAATCTGGGTCCTCATTTTACCTACCCCGGAAGGATGGAAGGCTGAGTCAACCTTGAGCCGGTGAGATTTGAACCGCTGAGCTGCTGAACACAGTCAGCTAAAGTGGCCTGCAGCACTGCACTCTAACTGCTGCGCCAGTGGAGTCCTCTTCCCCAAATGGATGCCGGCTCCGGGCCCCCCAGGAACGAGCCTTTTTGGAGTTGACCCATCTCTTCAAAGCCATCTTGGAGATAAGGATGGGCTTTCTCCATTAGAACGTTGGAAAGCCGCAAAGGCCAGCTTGTTAGGAAGAAGTCAAACATGAGCTGTTCTCCTGGAAGGTTGTAGGACGTGTTAGTGAGAGGATGGTTGCTGATCCTGGGAGGTTAGGGTTTTTAATCTTCGCTATGGTAGAGTTTTGGAAGCTTCTTGGAATTGATGGGAGGAGCACTGAAACAGAAGTGGGCAGAAAAAGAGAAGAAGATGGAGATGAGATGGAGAGGAAGTTGAGAGGGAGGAGAGGTTGAAGGAGGTGATGGAGGTGAGAAGGGGAGGGAGAGGGAAATGAAGGAGGTGGTGATAGAGAAGGAGATAGAGATGAAGGAGAAGGTGATGGAGGTGAGAAGGTGATGGAGGATGAGGAGAAGGAGATGGAGATGAGATGGAGGATGAGAAAGAGATGGAGATGAAGGAAAAGGAGAGGGAGATGGAGATAAAGGAGAAGGTGATGAGATGGAGGATGAGGAGATGGAGAAGGAGGGAGATGAAGGAGGAGATGGAGAGAGATGAAGGAGAAGGTGATGGAGATGAGATGAAGGATGAGAAGGAGAGGGAGATGAAGGAGAAGGAGATAGAGATGAAGGAGAAGGTGATGGAAATGAAATGGAGGATGAGGAGATGGAGGAGGAGAGGGAGATGAAGGAGGAGAAGGAGATAGAGATGGAGGAGGAGGAGATGGAGATGAAGGAGGAGATGGAGAAGGAGATAGAGATGACGGAGAAGGTGATGGAGATGAGAAGGTGATGGAGATGGAGATGAGATGGAGAATGAGGAGAAGGAAATGAAGAAGGAGATGGAGATGAAGGAGAAGCTGATGGAGATGAGATGGAGGATGAGGAGAAGGAGACGAAGAAAGAGAAGGAGAAGGGAAGACAGTTGGTTTTGCTCATGGGGTTCGTATCTAGAATTTGGAAGGGCCCAGTCCCAAAGCTTCAGCTTCAACGCATGCTGTTGCTGCTTAACAAGATCTAGGACAGAGGGAATCTTTCAAAAACAAATTCAGATCCAACCGAGACGGTCCAATTTTGTCCGTTCCGTTGCAAATGGCCCCGCACACCTATAACTGCAACCTGTCTCTCTTTTAATGAGTCTGAAGCTTCTTCAGCTATTTATAAGAGCCGGCTCCTGTGGTATTTCATCACGAATCTCTGCCCGAAGGAGCATGTTCTGTTGTTGTTGTTGTTGTTTTTTTAAAATACATAATTGAATTCCGTGTTTAGGGTGTGAAAGAAGACAAGCGCAAAAGTCACCGACTCGGGAGGCTTTTATTTTATTTTTTAATTTAAAGATTTTAAAAAAAACACTCTTTACCTATTATCTCAACCTTCGTAGCCTCTTTGTACTCTGTGGTACTCCAAAGCCCATTATACTTATTATTCACTTTTTTTTGCATCTTTCAGTCAGGCTGACGCTTTCTTCTTTATCCTTTTCCTTAAAACAAAGCCCAGTGACTCACACAATTACTTAGTGAAATCTTTCTCTATTGTTCTCCAAGGTGATGTCTGCGTTGCACAGGTGCAGGAAACGTTTGATGTTCCAGGCATGGCCCTTTGTCCTGAAGAGCGTGCAGTTTTTGGCAGGGTGCGCGCGTGCGTTTTTATTCGTGCAAGGGGAAAACCGGAGCCATACATTCCATTTACACTTAACGCTGAGTTTCACGGATCGGACCGTGCCCCCCCCCCAAAATGGTCCCTTATCTTTTGAGGGAAACCTTCTGCCTCCCCACCAGCGCCTCAACCGCGGTTATATTTTCTCTCTCAGGAAGAACTGGTACATTTTGAGGGCCAGAAGCTTTTGGTATCTCATTGGGTCACCTGGAACCTGAGATCAGAAAGTTAGGAGGTCCTTGGTGCTCTCTGAGCTGGGTGGTTTTCTTGCAGGCGTTTCATGACCCAACTAGGGAACATCATCAGTGCAAGAAGGGAGTGGGGATTGAGGAGAGGAGGGGGAGGAGGAGGAGGATCTTTGGTGCTCTCTGAGCTTGGCAATTTTCTTCTTCTTCTTCTTCTTCTTCTTCTTCTTCTTCTTCTTCTTCTTCTTCTTCTTCTTCTTCTTCTTCTTCTTCTTCTTCTCCTCCTCCTCCTCCTCCTCCTCCTCCTCCTCCTCCTTTCTTCTTCTTCTTCTTCTTCTCCTCCTTCCCTTCCTCCTCCTCCTCCTCCTCCTCCTCCTCTTTCTTCTTCTTCTTCTTCTTCTTCTTCTTCTTCTTCTTCTTCTTCTTCTTCTTCTTCTTCTTCTTCTTCTTCTTCTTCTTCTTCTTCTTCTTCTCCTCCTCCTCCTCCTCCTCCTCCTCCTCCTCCTTCTTCTTCTTCCATATCTGTTATCGGATATTGGTGATCCTGTTTTTATCAGCAGCTGCACAAAAAAGTGCTGCTGATTTTTCTCCAACCCAGTCCCTTCGATTTTGAAGCCACGATGTTCTTCTTCTGCCTGGACCTCGTTTGCCTTCAATCCTTCCCTGGAGGATTAAATGGAGTGTGCCGCATTTTTCTGGGTGTCGCATATTCTTGCAGATGTTTAATTACCAAACTAGATAACATCATCAGTGCTAGAAGAGAGTGGGGAGTTTGAAGGAGGAGGAGGAGGAGGAGGAAGAGGAGAACTGTGAGGTCCTTGGTGCTCTCTGAGCTTGGTGGGTTTCTTGCAGACGTTTCATGACCCAACTAGGTAACATCATCAGTGCTAGAAGGGAGGGGAGGAGGAGGAGGAGGATTGTGGGGTCCTTGATGCTCTCTGAGCTGGGTGGTTTTCTTGCAGACATTTCATTATCTAACTAGGTAACATCATCAGTGCTAGAAGGGAATGGCGTTTGTACAAATGGGTTGCCATGTCGGTATTAATGGGAGTTTTCCTGGTGGCCTCTTGATTAGACTGTTGTTTACTGTTTGATTATTTGTGTAGTATTAATCCTGATGTTAATCTCCGCTGAGTTGGGTGCTGATAGCTGGCCAGGAGGTGTTTTATCTTTTTGATGGTCTCTTTTAAATGGCACATAAATGTTGTTTATCTCTATGTGCTTGTCGATGACCGATTTGTCTGAATACCAAACTTCCAGGAATTCTCTATTGTTTGGAGACTTGGTTTCATATAGGATGCTCGGTTTCCCAGTTGAAGGAATCCCCCCCCCCCAAGACCACTCCCAGGGCAAGCCATGAGCAAGTTATGCTAAACCAGGGGTAGGCAACCTCGGCTCTTTTATGACTCGTGGACTTCAACTCCCAGAATTCCTGAGCCAGCATGGCTCAGCTTAGAACCTCTCCCTTTCCCCTCAGCATGGCTGGCTCAGGAATTCTGGGAGTTGAAGTCCACGGATCATAAAAGAACCAAGGTTGCCTATTCTGGCCTAGGCTTAGGCCGCTTTATGACTTGTGGACTTCAACTCCCAGAATTCCTGAGCCAGCCTGGCTCAGCTTGGAAACCTCTCCCTTTCCCCTCAGCATGGCTGGCTCAGGAATTCTGGGAGTTGAAGTCCACAAGTCATAAAAGAGCCAAGGTTGCCCATCCCTGTGCTAAACCAAGAGTTGCTTTGAATGAATGTGGGTGAACCCATCTCTTCTCTCCTTCAGCCAGGAGGAAGAATTCCAACCCCCCCCCCCCGTTCTTTTTCTTAACATGTCCACATCTTGCTGCCTACAGCAACAAACTGTGGCCAATAATGATGGCTAGTTACACTGATGACACATTTGGAAGATTGAGTTCTAGCTGTGGTTGCAACCACAGACCCACCTCACTGATTTTGGGGGAAATTGTGCTCAGAGGAGATTCAGAGGGACGAGACCAAGATGAGCTGTTAACGTTTTTCTCGTTTCCAGTGTGCTTTTTTTGTGTGTGTATGCGTGGCTGTGTGCGTGTGTGTCTCCTTTTGCATATATATATGTATATTTGTTTTTGCTTTCCAGATTAAGACATCAAGCCCATAAAGAGCTTTACGCCTACAAACAGGTGAGCCCGGGGTCCCTTTCCCTTATCCAAGTAATTTACAGTAATTTCTCATTATTTGTGGCAGTTATGTTCTCTTGGCTTGGTATAAGATCGCATTTGGAATATGGCATCCAGTTTTGGTCACCACAATGTCAAAAAGATGTTGAGAGTCTAGAAAGAGTGCAGAGAAGAGCAACAAAGATGATCAGGGGACTGGAGGCCAAAACATATAAGGAATGGCTGCTGGAATTGGGTATGTCCAGTTTAATGAAGCGAAGGACGAGGGGGGACAGGACAGCAGTCTTCCAGTATCTCTTGGGCTGCCCCAAAGAAGAGGGAGTCAAGCTATTCTCCAAAGCCCCTGAAGGCAGGAGAAGAAGCAACGGATGGAAACTAACCAAGGAGAGAAGCAACCTTGAACTAAGGAGAAACTTCCTGACAGAACAATTAACCAGTGGAACAACCTGCCTCCAGAAGCCGTGGATGCTCCAACACTGGAAGTTTTAAAGAAGAGACTGGACAACCAGTTGTCTGAAATGGTATAGGGTTTCCTGCCTGAGCAGTGGGTTGGACTAGATGACCTCTTAAGGTCCCTTCCAGCCCTAGGATTCTATGATTCATTTCTCTCCGGCAAGGAGAGAACCACTGGATGACTCTGCATTTCTCTTGAATAAGCAAGAAGGCCTCAGTGAGGGAGCCACATCCATCTGCCACCAGATTCTAAATTTTAAAACCTCTTTCATTTAGTCAACCCTGGATTTCAATTCCCAGAATTCCTCAGCCCAACATCACTGTTGCTGGGAATTCTGGGAGTTGGTCCACATGTCTGGAGATAGACTTTCTGCTTAGGGAAAGTTTGTTTAAAGACTTTGGAAAATTCCGGGCTTGTATTCTGGGTTTTTTGTTTTGTTTTGTTTTGTTTTGCAATGCTAGCATTGCACCTCCACCAACATATTATTCTTTTATTTTCAGGTTATCCTAAAGGAAAAGGTCAAAGAACTCAATTTGCACGAGGTAAGCTGGTGTTTCGGTTGCTTAAACTACCATTGATTAAGATCTCAGCATTGCAGGCTAAACCGTACAGTAAATGATTGAGAGAAATAGATACATGTCTAGTCTAACAAGAAGGCCGGAGGGGGGGGGGGGTGACAGGATAGCAGTCTTCCAATATTTTGAAGGGATGCCCCAAAGACAAGGGGGCCAACCTGTTCTCCAAAGTGCCTGAAGGCAGGACAAGAAGCAACTGGATGGAAACTAACCAAGGAGAGAAGCAACCTAGAACTAAGGAGAAACTTCCTGACAGTGAGAACAATTAACCAGTGGAACAACCTGCCTTCAGAAGCGGTGAATGCTCCAACACTGGAAGTTTTTAAGAAGAGATTCAGCAACCATTTGTTTGGAATGATATAGGGTGTCCTGCTTGAACAGGGAGTTGGACTAGATAACCTCCAAGGTCCCTTCCAACCCTATTATTCTATGTTCTTGTTCTATTTTGTTATAAGTCAAGTTGCACCTCAGTTGTCACGTCCAAATCTTCATTGTAATTTAGCCTGCATTTGGAGTCCGTCTGTCTATCATGTAATCTATCTCTATCATTTATCTGTCTGTTTATCTCTCATCTATCATCTACCTAATCTATTTATATCTATCTATCTATCTATCTGTATATCTACCTACCTACCTACCTACCTACCTACCTACCTAATCTACCTACCATCAATATATCTACCTAACTTTTCCACCTACCTACCTCTACCTACCTACCTACCTACGTAGCTACCTACCTACATCCATCCATCCATCCATCCATCCATCCATCCATCCATCCATCTAATCTACTTACCATCAATATATCTACCTAACCTACCTACCTACATCTATCTACCTACATCTATCTATCTATCTATCTATCTATCCATCCATCTATCCATCCATCCATCCATCCATCCATCCATCCATCCATCCATCCATCCATCCAATCTACTTACCATCAATATATCTACCTAACCTACCTACCTATATCTATCTACCGATCTACCTACATCTGTCTGTCTGTCTGTCTGTCTGTCGGTCTGTCTGTCTGTCTATCTACCTATCTACCTACCTACCTACATCTATCTATCTATCTATCTATCTATCTATCTATCTATCTATCTATCTATCTATCTATCTATCTCTATCATGTCTCTCACCTCTCTGTCTATCATCTGTCTATCACGTCTGTCCTGTCTACCTGGCTGTCAAACGTAGGAACCCACCATCTTATTCCCCATAGCAAAACAATGGAGAATTCCTGCCCCCAAACCAGTCGGACTGGGTCTCCATCAAAGCAGGCTTTAATCCTAGTTTATGGGGAGATGTCGTCACCCAGCTGACCTTGGGTCACCTTGAAAAAGGAGGGTTTGATCTGGGGCGTACTCAGACAGGAAGCCCATGAGTAAAATCCAGAGTTGGAAACAAGATAGCGAGAAGTTGGAAAAAAAAACATTGTCCAATGACTTCTGGACGATACTCCTGGCCAAAACAACACAGTTCAACTACAGGCTGGTTTTCCGTTTTACTCCAACTCCGTAGCAATGCCCAGAAACACTTTTAAAAGTAGGATTACGAATTTGAGAAAATTCCCAGCCAGTTTAAAAATAAAAATAATTAAAAAACAACCATGAATAATTTTTCCTCAGAAGCTGGGGGGAAACCCTTGTACCTAAAATGTAATTTTAATGAGTTTTTCCAAGACTTTTCGATCATATGCCCGGTAGGTGTTTTCATTGTGCACAAAAAAGAAAGCAAGTTTCCGAAAAGAGATATCTTTTTATAGATGCAGGGAGAATTTCCTCCAAAGCCGGCTTACTGGAATTATTTATTATTTTTCCAGAAAATTCCTTTCGGCTATTTTATTAACATCCCTCATCCCTTCTTGTCCCATTTCTGTGCTTTTGACATGCCCTTGCAAACTCTGGTTGTCAGTGAAATCATAAAAAGACAAGATTGATTTTAAAAAGAAAACAAAGGGGGGAAAGGAAAGAAGAAAGAAAGAAAGAAAGAAGGAAAGAAAGAAAGAAAGAAAGAAAGAAAGAAAGAAAGAAAGAAAGAAAGGAAGGAAAGGAAAGGAGGGAAGAGAAGAGAAGGTAAGAAAGGAAGGAAAAGGAAAGAAAAAGAAAGAAAGAAAGAAAGAAGAAAGGAAAGGAGGGAAGAGAACAGAAGGTAAGAAAGGAAGGAAAAGGAAAGAAAAAGAAAGAAAGAAAGAAAGAAAGAAAGAAAGAAAGAAAGAAAGAAAGAAAGAAAGAAAGAAAGAAAAAGGTTGAATGAAGGAAAAGAAAGAAGGGAAGGGAAGAGAACGGAAGGTCAGGAAGGAAGGAAAGAAAAAGGAAAGAGAGAAAGAAAGAAAGAGAAAGAAAGAAAGAAAAAAAGGTTGAAGGAAGGAAAGGGAAGAAGGGAAGGTCAGGAAGGAAGGAAAAAGGAAAGAGAAAGAAAGAAAAAGAAAGAAAGAAAGAAAGAAAGAAAGAAAAAGAAAGAAAGAAAGAAAGAAAGAAAGGTTGAAGGAAGGAAAGGGAAGAAGGGAAGGTCAGGAAGGAAGGAAAGAAAAAGGAAAGAGAAAGAAAGAAAGAAAGAGAAAAGGTCAAAGGAAGGAAGGAGAAGGAAAAAAAAAACTGTCTCCTATTACAGGTAGTCCTCCTTACAAACACAATGGAGCTCAATATTTCTGCTGCTAAGCGAGACAGTTGTTAAGTGAGTCCTGCCCCATTTTACGACCTATATTGCCACAATAATTAAGCGAACCACTGCAGTTGCTTAGCGACATCGTTGTTCAATAAATCCGGCTTCCCCATTGACTTTGCTTGTGCGAAGGTCGCAAAGGTTCCTCACGTGACCCCCGGGGACACTGCGACCGTCACAAGTAGGAGTCAGTGGCCAAGCGTCCGGATTTTGATCCCCCTGACTGCAGGGATGCTGCAGCGGTCATAAAGTGTGAGTCATTTCAGGGCCGTTGGAATTTCGGTCATTAAACAAAACCGTTGTAAGTCGAGGACTACCTGTATCTTTGGATATTTCATGACTTCCCAACCTGGCCTATAAATCCTGAGATTTCTCATTCCGTTGAGAACCAGACCTGACCCTGCTTAGCTTCCACCTCAGACACAAGGCAGGCGTTTCTTGTTGCCGTGTTGGCCATCTTGTGATGTCCCCTCAGATGTCCCCATATATCTCCTCAAAATGGCTTTTAAAAAACGTTTCTTTTGCTTATTTTTTTTTTCCAGATCTGTGCGGTTTGTTTAGAAGAATTCAGACCCAAAGATGAACTGGGAATTTGTCCCTGCAAGCATGCGTTCCATAGAAAGTAAGTTCTGATCGGCTAGGATTTCCAAATCTGGCAACTTTTAAGACTTGTGGACTTCAACTCCCAGCATTCCTCAGTCAGCCATGCTCAGACAGTCAATCATTTCAGCCAGGGGTCTCCAAATTTGGCAACGTTTAAGACTTGTGGACTTCAACTCCCAGAATTCCCCAGCCAGCCGTGCTCAGGCTGTCAGTCATTTAAGGCAGGGGCCTCCAATTTGGCAACTTTTAAGACTTGTGGACTCCAACTCCCAGAATTCCCCAGCCAACATGTGACCACAGGGATGTTCAGAATTCGGGCACTGGCACGTATTTATGACAGTTGCAGTATCCCATGGTTGTGTGATCACTATTTGTAACCTTCCTGGGTGATTTCTGACAAGCAGAGTCAATGGGGGGGGGAGAGGGACACTGAATTCGCTTAACGACTGTATGATTCACTTAATGACTGCAGTGATTCGCTTAACTGTGGCCAAAAGGCCGTAAAATGGGGCAAAAGTCACTTAGCAACCTCTTTGCCTAACAATGAAAATGTGGGGCTCAATTTTCATCCTAAGTCAAGGACTATCTGTATTCCACCTTTATTATTTTTATAGTTAACTCAAGGTAATGAACCCATCCACATTAAACCCCCCCCCCAAATTATCCTGTGGTAAGATTGGCGGCCAATAAATTTAATAAGTAAATAAAATATCCAACATGACCCCACCTCCTTTTTTTTCCTGCAACCCGCCACGTTCAGATAACACTTGCCACGTTTTCCAGCGGACCCTTTTGTCCGTTCATCCCTCTTTCCTAAAGTGGCACGTTTAGGATAAAAATCTCTCTCTAATCTACCACCGAATGGCTTTGCTTGCGATTGCTCCCCATCCAGATTCCAAATTACAGGTAGTCCTCGACTTACAACGGTTCGTTTAGTGACCGTTCAGAGTTGCAACGGCCCTGGCAAAAAGCGACTGAGGGCCGTGTTTTAGATGCTGCGGCCGCGGCAGAATCCCCAGGGGTCACAGGATTCAAACTGACCCGCTGACTCGTATTTACGACGGTTGCAATGTGCCGGGTCCTCCTTTTGCGACCTTCTAACAAAGTCCCTTAAGCACCGGGTTGCTGACTTAACCGCGAGGATTTATTTAATGGAGTGTGGCAAGGAAGGTGGTAAAATGGGGCCGAATCGACTGGACGGATGCGGAAATATGGGGCTCTGTCGTGGTTGTAAGGCGAGGATTATCCGTAAAGCATTTCTCAATCTCTCTCTCTCTCTCTCTCTCACTCTCTCTCTTCTGACAGATGTCTCATTAAATGGTTGGAGGTCCGGAAAGTTTGCCCCCTGTGCAACATGGCAGTCCTGCAGCTGGCCCAGCTCCACAGCAAGCCGGATCACCCTGGACCCCCCCAGGAACCTCTGCCTGGGACGGCCAACCTCGTATAGCTCCCTCCTGGCTCCCCCCTTGTCCTCCCGAACGGACTCCAATTCCCGCAGAGACTTGTTACTCTCGGTCCCTGCTACTCACGGTCTCGGAGCATTTTCCCGGACCCCCTTTATCTCATGAAACACGCCCGGGATGCACCGAAGGGCAACAGATGCTCCAACGAGGGAAACATCAACAAGACGGAGCTTGCAAGGACGCAGGAACGCCGGCGAGGCTCCCGTTTTGTTTGTCTCTTAATTTTTTTTTTTTTTTCCCTTTTTTTTTTAATACATGCACTTTACCCAGGTCAGCTGCCGGGCTTGGATTCAAATCAGGCGGCCGACAAGAAAAAGAGAGAGAAAAAGACTCCAAAGATAAGGAGACTGCCCTGGGGAGCAAGCATCCATCTCCACAGAGAGGGGGGGGGGGAATTGTGGTTTTGGATTCCAGCAGTTGCGATGATCTTTTTTCAGCAAATTGCTTCGTGGGTCCCAGAGCCGAAATGCAGCAAGAGAATCCTCGCCGGAAGAGGAGACGGGATAGGAAACCATTCCGTGCAGTTTGTTGCAATTCCCGCCATCTCTGAATCGGTTAAAGGAATACCTTCAGAGGAACACGGTGTTGGTTAAAAACGAGAATGGGGAGGGTAGTCTGCCCTGAATTGTGACTTGTGGACGGGGGGCCGCATTGCCGGTCCATCCACGCCTCGGTGGAAAAGGGAAGGAAGTAAGGAAGAGGTTCTCGCCAACGTGGGCTACTCTAGGAAACCCGGAGGAACTGATGAGAATCCCCTTTAGCCGAAGTAAATTCTTTGGACTTTGCAGGGACGATGCGACAGGACGCAACCTTTGTCTCGTTCCCCTAATGTGAATCCTTTTCGAGCGGTTTGCCAGCACAGATCGGCGTCTGCCGGATTGGTGTGGATTTGATTTTCTTTTCCCAATGTAACGCGAGATCTATTTTGGGCCCCAGACTGCATGTTTTAACGGATTTTGCAAGAGTGAACAGGCAGATTTGGGTGGGAGGGTCTCACGAAGTCTAGAGCAATGGTGGTTAAAAAAATCTTTCCAGCTCAGCCTTAGGTTGCACACGCTGGTCAATCACGATGGAAAATAAATAAAAGGAGTGAAAGCCAGTGGAATTGTGAACACGCCCTTGTTGTGCCTGAAATCGGGCGATGTTGCTAAGGATTACGTTCCCCTCTTGGGCAAAAATCAGCCAGAACTTGTCAGATTTTAGCAAAACATTTTGTTCGAATTGGGTGAGCAAGAAGTTGGGGTGACTTCTTCCCGTCGCACTTATATCCCCCAATCTGGGGATTGCCTGGCGTGGGACTACAGCTCCCAAAATCCCCAGCCAGCCTGGCCCTTCTGAAACTGAGAATTCTGGGAACAGCAGCCCCCAAACATCTGGAGGGCAGCTTAGAATGACAAGCTACCGAAACATGGACGCTTCCTGTTCAAATTTTTTTTTTTTAATTTTCGCTCACAAAAATCTGGACTTCCATCCGACTTACGCACTTTTTTGTTCTTTTGTTAGAAGGAGGTCAGTCCAGACAAGACTGATGGAGAATTGACCTTAGCAAAATTGGACTTCTTGAAAATACCTGCGTGTGTTAGAATGAGCACGTTTCTAGACCTCATTGTCCCTGTGAAAATGTGGAGGCTGCTCCGTCAGGTGCATTTCATACAACCGAGGCAGGAAGCGACCTCTTTAGTTTGATCCCCTCTTTTTTTTGCAGGGAGGTGTTATTATTTGTCAATTGTTTCAAATTGTTCGGAGGACGCAAGCAGGGGCTCCTTATCCAGTATTGCAACCATCAGTGTAGTTTTTCTAATATTGGTATATAGACCATCGGCGTCCAACCTTGGCAGCTTTTAAGACCTGCGGACTTCAACTCCCAGAATTCCCCAACCAGCTATGGTGAGTGGGGAATTCTGGGAGTTGAAGTCCCCAAGTCTTCCTTGTTGCCGTGTTTGGACACCCTGACATAGACTGTTCCTTCAAGCCCACACATATAATAAGATAACTTCCTGATTTCTGGCAGAAATTTTGTGGTGCTGGCGATAACGGCTGAGGTTTACAGATTTCTTGAGAAGATCCAAGTTCAGTTGTACCCCCTTCTGTTTTTTTTCCTCCCCCCCATTATTTTGTAAATTGTGTGACTCTTGAGAGTTTATGAACCTTAGGGATCCGACCTGGATTCATAGACGCACTTGTACACTAATATATATATATGTGTGTATGTATGTACGTACATACGTACATACGTACATATACCATATATATGTGTGTATACACACATATACGTGTGTGTATGTATATATGTATATGTGTGTCTATATATATATATACACGTATATATACACACACATATATATATATAAATTCTGCAGCAGAATTTTTTTTTTAAAAGAAAAGGACAAAACAAGTCGCTGGGGTTTTATTTTATAAGCTCTATTTTTGTATATTTAATTGCTGTTTTAAAATTCTAATGCATCTTTTTTGCTAATCACACTCTTCTTAAAAAAAACAACAATGGGGCGGGGCGGGCGTTCGCATGTGATTTGACTTGAATTGTAAATAAAAAGCAAATTTTGGACATCATGCAGTTGCCGAATCTGTACAGCAAAGCCGCTTTGGATAATCCGCTAGGGATAATCTTCCTCCGGTTGTGGAAAAGAGAAGAGGTGGGAGGGTTGCTGCACGCGGATTTCCCGACCAAAACAAGGGTTTCCCAGATTTCCCAATTTAGTAACAATCGTATTGGGGGGGGGGGAAGAGGAGGGGAATTCTGCTCACAAACGTAGTAGTACCTCGGTCATTTTCCTAGCGTCATTCCCGCTTTATGGCAGCGTCGGCTTGTTGGCAAAACTGTCTCCAATGAAGGAGAATATCTGTGGCTCAGGATTGAAATGAGGGATGCTGGGTGCTCTCTGAGCTGGGTGGTTTCCTTGCAGACGTTTCATGACCCAACTAGGTAACATCATCAGTGCTAGAAGGGAGTGGGGTGTGCGGGGACGAGGAGGAGGACGACTGTGGAGTCCTTGGTGCTCTCTGAGCTGGGTGGTTTTCTTGCAGACGTCTCATGACCCAACTAGATAACATCATCAGTGCTAGAAGGGTGTGGGATTGAGAGGAGGAGGACTATGGGGTCTTTGGTGCGCTCTGAGTTGGGTGGTTTTCTTGCAGATGTTTCATGACCCAACTAGGGAACATCATCAGTGCTAGAAGGGAGAGAATTTGCAGGAAGGAGGCAGAAAAAGGTCGGAGTCCTTGGTGTGCTCTGAGCTTGCTTGTTTTCTTGCAGACGTCTCATGACCCAACTAGGTAACATCATCAGTGTCAGTAAGGAGTGCTGTTTGCTGTCGGTTTACATTAATGTGTACATAGACATTAACAACATCTATAGACTATGCAAAAGAGACAATCAACAAGTTCCAAAGTGAAAAAGACTCCAGCATCTCCCCACCAGCAATCAACACCCAGATCAGCATAGATTAACTCCAAGGTTAACTTCAGACCAACACAGTCATTAGTAAGCAGCCTAAGCAGAGAATCCCTAAGACTGCCCCCCCACACACACACAGAGACAGGCCAGACACTAGAATATAAACAGACAGCAAACTGCACTGATGAGGTTATCTAGTTGGGTGATGAAACGTCTTCAAGAAAACACGCAAGCTCAGAGAGCACCAAGGACCCCTCAAAGCTGTGTCCGTTTGGGTCGATCCGGGGCGTCTCCAGGGCTGATGCTCACGTATTTCGTGTCCTTGATGCAGTCCATCCACCTTTCCTTGGGTCTGCCATGAGGGGTCGCTGGCCATCGGGATCCAGATGCGTGGCTGTCTTTAACACCGGGTCTTCTTTACTGCGTAGAACAGTGGTTCTCAACCTTTTTAATGCCGCGACCCCCCAACCGGTCGTAAGTCGAGGACTACTCAACCGGTCGTTAAGTCGAGGACTACTCAACGGGTGCAGCACCGTTTGCAGAATGGGACTTTTGGCGGGCTCAGCAGGGCAGAGACAGCCTGGACAATTCCTATTGGCTTTTGAAAGCCAATAGAATTAGATTCTATTCAACAGAGTCTATTCTATTGGCTTTCAAAAGCCAATAGAATAAAAGGGAGTAGCACAGCTAAGGAAAAGGGGGGGGGGGGAAATGGCGGACTGCATTGTTTGGCGACCCCTGTGAAATGGTCGTTCGACCCCAAATGGGGTCCCGACCCACCGGTGGAGAACCACTGGCGTAGAATGTCTCTGTGCCATTCCTTCCCACATTTTTGCTACAATTGGCATGAGCCCTAATCGACGTCGGATATTGTCATTCATAGTCTGGTTGAATCGCCATCAGAGCGTTCGCATGTCCATTGCATGTTGTGCTGTCCCGCTCGCTCACACGCACATGTTAATGGTGGCTCAGTGGGCTTATTAATATTCCCCAGCAATTCCCTTTCCTCAAAAACCAAGAACTGTCCCAATTAAGTCCGGCCAAAAGCGGACCGAGGCTAGTCCACAGAGCAACGGCCCATGGGTCCACAAGGACCCTGAAAGTTTCCCAAATGAGATAAACCCACCAGGCAAAATGAAATCCACAACGTAAGAGGGTTCACGAGGAGGAAAGAAAAGTTCAGAGTTCACAAGGCACGGTCCAAGTCAAGGCACGGTGTCAATCCAAAGCAAGGCAAGCATCACAACAAGCAGAAAACACCCAGCTAGGAAATGAACACATTGTTCCCAGCATCGCCTCCGTCTGCCTGCTGTGCTAAAGAGCCAGCTTCTGGTGCAGCCCATCAAGAAGGGCGAGGCCTTCTCCTCCTGCGTAATCTGGCTGACCTTCTCTGCTCCGGCCTTTTCTCTGCCTGTTCTTGAATCAGGTGCAGCAGGCAGTTCCTCTTCCTCATCACTGGCCGGTGGCAGCTGCATGCCTTCCCTACCTGAAGCCTCAGGGCTGTCCTGCTGTGGCTGTGTTTGAGCCAAATCCCTCTCAGATGGCTGCTCGGAGCCATTCACCAACTCCCCTCCAGACGTTCCTGGAACCGGTTCATCCTCCTCTGAACTGACATCTGGAGAGGTATCTGGGGAAGCGTCCGAGGGAGTCATCACACATGTATGGCCTGCTCCTGCTTTGCCATTGCTGGCCAGCACTCCAATCCACAGTATCATAGCTGTACCTCGGTACTCATTGTTAATTGCTTCTGGGAGGCATGGTGAGTACCAAAAACAGTAAGCAACAAATCAATTTTTCCTAGAAGGAATAATATACAGTATTGGCCAAAATTGTGGAAACCTTTTGGGAAAAGTGTACAGTAGAAATGCCAGCTTTGATTAAGTTTCCACCCATTTTTCTTCTCATTTCTTTGTAACTGTAGCCTTGTTCACCTAATAATACTATTTTACATTGCTTTCTGGGCAACCAGTCAACTCTTTGCACCATGACTTTAATTTTATTACGTTTTACAAGCTCACTAAATAAAAGAACACAAAAAACCCCAGCCAACCTGATAGCAATCATATAACACACTGACAAATGTCCTCCTCTCAGCTTCAATACAAGACATCAATCACTGAATCCTACTGTGATCTGATTGGCTCATGGCCAAAACAAGATGACACCTGATTGGCTCTCTAAACACTCATGCTCATTGGCTACAATCAGATGAAGGAAAGCTACCTGATATCAATTTGAGCAAGTTGTGCTTCCTTTTTCTGGTTCTTTGGCTGTAACGTTTCATAGAATACAGTACAGATAAATGAACCAACTTTGTTGCATTATGTTCTTGATTAAATTATCTTTCCGTCGATATGTAATTTTATGGTACTACTCCAAAAATAAGTGGTGTTATTAGCCATCAAACCTCACAAATACACTTTTCCAAAAGGTTTCCACAATTTTGGCCACTGCTGTAGCGAGCCGCAAGGAAGCCAACAGCGACAAGTTGTAGCTTGTGCGTTAAGTACCAAACAAACAACGAGGACGGGACAAAATTTTTGTCTCAAAATGTGTTGAGTGCTAAATTCGATGAGTTTCAAAGCAGTTGAGTGCCAAGCATTTGGAATCAAGACTGTTTTTTATTTCCTTAACAATGTCTGCAGACCATCTCAACTGTAAGGCCAGGATAGAAAGCAATAAACTTGCAATAAGCAAGCAAAAACGACAACGTGGAATTCAGGCAGTCCTTGACCGACAAACACAGTTGAGCCCCAGGTTTCCACTGCTAAGCAAAGCTGTCGCTAAGTGAGTTTTGCCCCATTTTAAGACCTTTCTTGCCACCGTTAATTAAATCATTGCCATTGTTAAGTTAGTAACCCGGTTGTTAAGTGAATCCAGCTTTCCCATTGACTTTGTCAGAAGGGTCACAAATGCGGATCACGTGACTCCAGGCCACGGCGACCGTCGTAAATGTGAGTCAGCTGCCAAGCGTCTGAATTCTGATCAGGTGACCCAAGGGTCGTAAAAGTGAAAAACGGTCGCAAGTCACTTCTTTCCGTCCCGTTGTAACTTCGAACGGTCACTAAACAAACGGTTGTAAGACGAGCGTTACCTGTATGTTGTCCCAATCCAGCACATCGCTTTAATTCAGTAACCAGTTAAGCCCATGGTGTGAATCCTGCCAAAGCCAGCATCAAAAGCAGATGTCTTTTTTTTTATTAAAACTTTTTTTCTTTCCTTTTTATATTATTATAAATTTTGTTATTATTAACCCTGTATTCTGCTCTGGGAAGTGAAGGGAGGGGAGTTGGGGGTGGGAGGAGGGCAAGGGGGGGGTAAAGGTAGTATAGACAATGGTTGCTTATGAATTTATTATACTTTAAAAATTTTATTGTATTTTTATAATATTTGTATGTTAAAAAAGCAGATGTCTTTGATTTCGTTCCGTTTCCCTTCCCGGCTGGGGTTTTTCCGTATCCGTCCATTCCTTGCACAAGGGTGTTCCAAGTGCATTTACTTGGGGGGGGAAAAAAAACTTGCAAATACTTGCAAAAAAACCCAGAATTAACTGCAAAAGGAGGCTGGCGGTTGAAAGAACCTGGAAATCTTTCCAAGTCTGGAGCGAGGAGACAAGCCATGTTTATGCTCTCCCATCGCTGGAACACCTTGCTAGCGGAGTACTTTGTCCTTCTCCCGCACGTACCTTGCACAGAACTGTCGATCAGGCAAGTACAAAAGGTTTCCTACACCTCTCCCACACGCAGCCAAGGGCAATTCCTGGAACACAGGTGGTCCTCGACTTAGGGTTCCAATTCAGCCTAAATTTTCCCTTGCTGGGCAAGACAACCGTGTTGCCCCATTTTACGATTTTTCTTCCCACGGTTGCTAAGTGAATCGCTGCAGGTGTTGAGTTAGCAACACGCTTGTTAAAAGGAATCTGGCTTCTCCATTGACTTCGCTTCTCGGAAGGTCGCTGAAGGGGATCGTAGGACCCCGGGGCGGGGGGGGGACACTGCAACCGTCGTAAGTACATACCCAGCGTGCCAATATTGATCACATGACCCCCGGGATGTTGCGGCCGTTATAAACGTCAGTAGCCAAGCGTCCGAATTTTGATCAAGTGACCACGAGGATACTGCAACAGTCATAAGCATGAAAAACGGTCGTTAACTCG